AAAAAAATATACTTAACTTTCCCTAAGAATAAAGCTCCCTTTTTATTCTATTTAATCTACTGAATTATCCTCCCTCTAACAAACTATATTCCCTGACACGTGGATATTCCATAACAAACCTTCACTAGCACATTCCCTCTTTATAGCTCACTCACACTACCAGCACCCTATTGCCCTTGTGCCCCTTATGCCCCTTCAGCTGGTAGACTTTATTAATAGGTCTGTCATATATGAAGCTACTTTTTGTGTTTACATTCCCTTGATGTGTCCCTTGGAGTTTCATCAATAAACTTATTGTGTCCCTTTTCACAGCTCAAGCTATCCCTGGTGGGAAAGTGGTGATTGACGTTTCTTACTTTGGAGTGCATGTCCATCAAGAAACACATGATCTTTGCCAAGAATTGTCCTGTCCTGTTGCTGAAGGAGACTTTGTGCTGTCTCACACCCAGACTTTGCCTGGTTTCACTCCTCCAGTAAGTTTCATCTCTATGACTTAAAACATTGTGATTTATGAGACCATCATAGGTACCCCCAAACTATTAGGCCATGTTAAAGTATCAACTTCTATCACGATGCATTAAAATGCCCAAAATAACTAGACGCTGATACTAAGTTATGAACATTGGCGTTGGCAGAGGTATGTGGGCATTTTTTCTTATTTTTCAAGTAACCTTGCGGAATAGGAGAATTTGTTCATAAGAAGAAGAAAATACACCTACCTAGGGGGGACATAGAGGCCTTAAATGCTTTTGTTGATCAAATTTGGAGCAAACAGAAAATGATAGATAAGCAAATGAGTGTATGGAGGTGTTTGTTTTCATCCATTCTTTTTCTTAGTGAAACTTTACATCCCAATTTAATCTCTGAAGTTAATGAAGTATATCTTTTAGAAGTTAAGGGTAAGACAAGGAACATGGAATACTTCCCTCAAAACTGGAAATACAGCAAAACAGAAGCAATAATGTTAAGCAACGAATATTTACCAAAAAAAAAAAAAAAAAAAAAAATATACCCGATAAAGTATTAGCCTGCATGTGCGGAAGGGCTCTTTAGTTGTGCTCCTTAATTTAAGCTTGTAGCTGGAACCATCTTTTATCCTTAAGCTGGATCATGTGTCACCACCTTCTATGCTGCCTTTGATTCCTAGAGGTGGAAAGAAAAAACAAAATAATGAGAAAAAAATCTTATTTTTCTGATTTTTTATTTTTTCCCACACATTTTGTTGATGTCCAAATGTATGATTACGGGAAGTATGACAAGTTACAGTAGCAGCTCGTACTTCTTAATTCTAATGCTAGCATAACTAGAATCCTACTTGTCTTGTTTGGAACCAGAAACATTATCCTTAGTCGAAACTACTTTCAGTGTCTTGCTTTTACATCACGTGTCCACAAATAGGATAAATATTGTTGTAGTTACACTTTACATCGCAATTTCTTCTATCCTTTGATAAAGAAACTAGTTTGCTTTTTGGAAAAAACTTTGCTTGTTGCTATTTTTAAAATTAAGTTTATCTGGTTCTTTACTTTTGCTGAACACTACTATTTTCATTGGCCCCTTTCTCTGGGAGTTAGATCCCAATAACAATATTTTCACCCACCAACTTTGGTCATCGAGCTCCTATGTTCTATAATTAATCCCATTTTGCTTCTTATGAACATCTTCTGACTACTGCTGTTGGCTGCTCGTTTTTATTTGATTTTCAAATTTAAGATAGTATTTGGTGGAAGTGAAAATTAGTACAATATTTCTTTAGTAGCCAAATTGGAAGTTAATTGGATAATTAATTTTTTCTTACAATTTGTTCAATTGTTTAATATGGGTGTGGTTTCTACAGGGCTCTTACAAACTTAAGATGACAATGGAGGACAAGAACAACCAAAAGTTGTCTTGCTTTAGCTTCAATTTCAAAATCGGTTTTGGATCGTTGATCTCCGATAGCTGAGCCAAAAAGCGTGCGATGTAATTGCGTGGTTGAATATAAGTTTTAGGTCTTTGCACATAAAAACACTTAGTGCTATCCAAAGAAATGTCCCAAACAGCGCGTTGTGTGTAGCATATAAAGACAGGGCCATTGTTGTTGAATGGTTTTACGAGTAAATTAAAATACTCAACTCCTATCTCCTTCAACTAATACTTCAAAGTTTTACCTTATCATCTTCTTCCCGAAGGTTTCAAATAACGGATAACATAAGATAATGGTAATACTTCTTGCAGACAGTAGCTAATCCAAATAAAATGAAAACGAACTTGCCCCAAATACAATAATTTATGGTTAATAAATTTGTGTTAAAATCTGAAAATACTAGATGCCAAAAACGTTTCCGGAAACAATTGGAGCTATGGTCACTAAAGTGTCACCTAAAACTTATTGCTTGGTTGAATTGGTGTTGTTTCATTCGTCATAATGTAGTAATATGGTAAGGCGCATGTCGATTATATTGAATGAATGCTCCCAACTACAGATTCTTCCCCTAGATAATTAATGGCTTCCCAACTTTTCTTTTCAGGCAAAATTTTTCTCTAACTTCTACCAATTATTTACTGCGTTATCTGATCCATGATTGCACAACTCGTTGCCGAGTAAGATGCCTAGACAACCGCCGGGCAGAATTGTGTGTTGGTGTTTGGTTTTTCAGATGCGAAAATACGATTTTCTGGCAACTTGTCCGTGTCTGGGTAAGCTGAAAATATGGTGTGACTATTTGAAGAAAATGCATGCTGCCTTCTTATTACATGAAATCATAAATTTGTATATGGAATCCTCTGGTGGGTCTGTCCAATGAACTTGCCTCTAGCAAGCATCCATGCGTTATACCAGGTTGTCAGCAAACAACCTTGACAAGTGAGATCAATCACTGCCTTTCGACAGGGTCGTTCAACACTATGATAGCTCTTACCGTATTCTCTGTGTCATTGATAAGAATAATACTAGGGCTACGGACGTTTCTAGAATGACCATCATATGTGATCATAGGGTTCCCACTATCAAGATTTGAAACACTTGATACCCTTGTCACGGTTCTACCATCCTAAGGACATATATCATTACATACACAATATAGAAGAATATGCATTTTATTGATAAATAAACATTTATTACAAAGTCTATTTTACAATAATTGATTGGCTATAGGGCACTTACTCTAACAACCTTTACTTAAGGAGAGTGATCAATGGCAGATTCGGATGCAATACTACGTTTCTAGTTCTATGGAAATCAGAATCCCGAAAAGTTACGAACAGGTTGATTGGGAGGCAAAAGGATGGGTGAGCATGTGCGAGATATGAATTCACGACGGTTTGCACCTTCTTATACCTCGACTCATCTGGGAGGTGTTAAATCATTTCATGATTGCACCAACACAGATAATGCTGAATGGGTGGAGGTTATTGTTGTGCTTGGAGGTGTTGTGCACTCAAAACCGAGTGATGTTCGGTCTGCACGAGCTACTGCATTCCTACTATTTGAAGGAACATGACCGAGAGAAAGGTAGATACGCCATCACCCTTAGGCACGATAGACTCCACTTAGTGATGAACCTAAGGTCGAGCGACAAGAACTGGAAGGAGCGGTTCTTCTTTATGAAGGGCAAGGCCATATTTAGTGAGAGAGGCCGGGGCGAGATACCATACACATGGAGAGCCACGGGTGAGAGACCGATTTTTGTCTATACTTGTGATCACTAAGTCTTATTCTCTCTTTCTTTTTCAAATCCCGACTTCAATCGAGTCAGACAAAGTGGAGACGGTGTAGACGTGATGACGAGGGAAGTTCTCACCATTTCAAAGGAACAAAGAGACTAGAGAGTAATCTTGAAAGAATTCAACTTGAGGATGAGTCATCTGTGGGTTGGAGTTGAAGCTGTTCAAAGAGGTATCCCATTCCCCTTATCGAAGCAACTATGGCACGTGCTACTAATTCGCTACAACAATCACATACTATTCGGGCATTTGTTTCTTCATCCACTAACATCTGATGGGTTTGCCATTGTAGAGAGGTTGTGAGTAATCTTAAGGTAGACATACCAAATACGAGTGATGTGGCTATGCAGTGTAAAGATAAGAGGAAGAGGGATTCGGCCCCAAGGAGAGTTCAAGTTCAACAAACCGAGTCAATTCCTCTTGACGATTAATCGTCAGTTGGAGCCAGGTCATCGAAAGAAGTCCCATTTGATGAGGATGAAAAGGTGACGATCACTCTTCCCAACACAACCTTGATCTACTTTGATGCAGTTGGGATGGGCAGTTTGGCCGAGTCGTTTTTGCTACCTACTAACGAAACCCGACTGAATCAGATGGGGACGATTGTTGCGGCCGAGTGGGCAGTGACTCGACAACTTCAAGTACTTCTTAATTTCTAACTTTATTGCTAAGTTATGGAGCTAATTTGCATGTTTTCTTGTAGCCTTTGAGTGGGACCCTTTATTTGAAGAAGGTTGCGGTTGCCTAGGACGTGTGAATCCAAGAGTTGATTAAATCCAATATCGGTTTGAGAAATCGGGAGGCTCAAACATTGAAAAACGCAAAGGAGAGCTACGCTAAGTAGCGGTAGGCCAAGTTGGAGTCGGTCGAATTGAAAAAGGCATTGGCTGAAGCTGAGAGGGTGCTCTCTGATGCGAAGAGAGAACTGGTTGAGAGAGAGGAAGAGTCAGTCGCACTTAGGGAGCAATGCGAATCCATATATGAGGATGCCATGATCAAGGCCCGTGCCAAGCTGATGAAGGAATACAAAGCCGAGAATACTGCACATTGGGACCCTGATAGGGACATCGAGCTCTGGGAGGCAATAAAGGCTGAGGCAGCTTGTGTTGATGACCGAGTGGATGAAGGGCGAGCCGAGTCTGACCCCAGAGATCAGATGGGGGAATTTGTTTAAAATCAAGAGGAAGCTTTGGCGGGTTCGACCGAGTCAACCATGGATGCAGCAACTGTTAGCGGGTTAGCCAGTCAAGAGAAGGAGGTTGGGCCGACTAGAGATCAGTTAGCTCAGAAAGATTAGCCGGGTCGTGTAGACCCTTAGTTTATATGTTTTTTCAATACTATTTTAGACTTTTAAGGCATGCAGTGCCCTTTGTGCTTTTGTATTTGCAACTCTTCGCCGATGCAATCTTTTAAGTTTTAATGGATTGTTTTTCGTTTGCCTCATTACCAAGTGCTGCGTTGTTGTGTGATTTGTATACTTAGAATGTTTTGATTTTTTAGAAATTTGTGTGCTGAGGTCGAGTGGCTGAATTGTTGATGATTGGTTGAATCTAATTCCCTAATGTGAATCAATGTGTCCCGAGGCTAGGTCGGCATGGCCGACTGTCAATGTAAGCAGGTCGATGCAAATTAGTCGATGTAAATCAGTAGATGTTGAGTCGGCATGGCCGACTGTCGATGTAAGTCAGTCGATGTAAATTAGTAGATGTTTCAATCCTCGGTCGGCATGGTTGACTGTCTATGTAAATTAGTAGATGCTTTGAGGCTCAGTCGACATGGACGATTGTCGATGTAAATCAGGCCTCACGACCGAGTCGATGCTAATTGATTGTAGTTGAATAAATTTGTCGATGCTAAGTATACCGAGGCCCGGTTGGCATGACCGACTATCGATGTAAATCGGGCCTCGTGACTGAGTCGATGCATATTGATTGGAGTTGGATAAATTTGTCGATGCTAAGTATACCAAGGCCCAGTTGGCATGATCGACTGTAAATGTAAATCGGGCCTCGCGATTGAGTTGATGCATATTAATTGGAGTTGAATAAATTTCTTCGCTGAATAATATTTTTATTGATACTAGGCCAAAAGCCCAACTGACAGGAGAAGAGGTGGACAGACCTACTCACTTTTTTTTTTTTTAAACAAATAAAAAAAAAAAAAAAAGGAAAATAAGAGCAGTTTACTAAATGTAGTACCATTTGAAATGGATGGCATTCCAGCTATTGGTGATATCTTTCTCCTCTGGAGTCTGGAGCCTATAGGCTCCCTTGCCCACCGCTCAGGTTATCTTATACGAGCCTTCCCAGTTAGGGCCGAGCTTCCCATCGTTGACCTCTTTAGTATTCTAAAAGACTTTGCGAAACACCCAATCTTCTTCCTTGAAAGCTCTCACTCGGACATTATAATTGTAGTGTTGAGTGACTCGTTGGTGATAGATGGCGTTCCTAATGTGAGCCTGATCCTTTAGTTCATTGATGGTGTTTAGGTTGTGGCAGAGATTCTGGTTGTTGGTCTGCTAATCCATCCATTGGAGTTTGGGAGAAAGGATAGAGACCTTGACTGGGATGACTGCCTCTAAGCCATATGCTAATGAGAAGGGTATCTCTCTAATGGATGATGTTAGGAAACGATCATACATAGCAGCGGAAAACAAAATTTATTTACATCATAGATCGTTCCTTAGAACCAAGATCAGGACACATATTTACAGTTTACACATAATTTTAGAATCTGCAGAATTTCAGTTTAGAGTTTAAGAAATCATACGCACGTTTGGAGGCTCCTCCAACTTGTCTTTGAACGTATTTCGCTACCAACCCAAGAGCAGGATCAAACCAATGTAGTCCACATGAAGATAACCCCAAGGAACTAAAGAGGGATTTGCTAGATCCTCTTTAGTCTTCAAGAACTAAGAAGAAATCAAGCAAAAATGCAAACTGGCGTGGGAGAGAAAAAGGGGGTTGGAATGTTTTACTAAATGATTGAAAAATATGTTCTCTCTTTTCACAAAAATCTGCACTTATATAGTGCACATAATGCCATATTCCCCCATGGAATAGGCTTAGGCACCAACCCAAACAACCCCTTATGTCCAAACAGCCCCATTTAGATATTTTAATAATTATTATTGTTATTTCAATTCAATTCAATTAATATATATATTTCATATATTAACATTTAATAATAACAATAATTCATTTAAATATATGCGAACACATATTTAAATATAATTTCACTTATTTAATTTTATTAACAAACTAAATAAAGGCTACGACCTCAGCAA